AGAGGAAGAGAAATACTAAGCACAGGGAAGGTCTTTCAGGGCGTGACGAGCTTTTTGAAAACGGTCTTTTGCATGATATAGGGGCAGATGCGGGGACCACAGAACCATGTTTAATTTTTCCTGAACGGCCCTCTGAATACCAGAAAAGGGGTCCCTAGTTCGATTCCTCTTGGTGACAAATTTTTGCATTTCGAGTTGACGTTCCAAAATTCGCGCAAAATGGAGTTCTGATTGTTCTGGTTGGTTCTAACTCCATTTTGCGCGAATTTTGGCACGTCAACTCGAAATGCAAAAATTTGTTACCACGAGGAATCGAACTAGGGACCTCCTTTTCTGGTATTCAGAGGGCCGTTCAGGAAAAATTGAACATGGTTCTGTGGTTCCCGCATCTGCCCCTATATCATGCAAAAGACCGTTTTCAAAAAGCTTGTCACGCCCTGAAAGACCTTCCTGTAACTTCCATTATACCCGGCGACAATGAGAGGTTCCATATAAAGATGAGGCAAAGAAGGGGAACTTAGCTAAAGCGAGCGACATGGGCACAGGCGGACCTACTGAGCGGTGCGCACCTGGCACGCGATTCGTATCGAAAGTATAAGCTACCGGCGAGCTAGAATGCCGTCCCGCGGCTTACTTGGCGCGCGTTTGGTCTGTTAGGCCTCCCCTCCTCCGGGCCTCGACCCGTTTAGCAAAGTATAGTCAGTCTAAACGTGCAGAAAGCACAGTTTACCTCAGATGCGTAACGACAACGGGAAAGGAAACCTATTTCTCGGTTTATGAAGAGGATTTTTCCTTTGTTTTTCTTTTTCTTTCGTGCATCGATGTCCATCTTCAGCTCAATTTACAATGGGGTATTTTTTTATTCGAATCCGCCTCTAAGTATTGGGATGACGTTATATCGTCATTTCTGATTTGAGATCTGGCTCTGTAATTGCATAAACGCCTTTCTGTGCATTCCTCGCCACGAGGTTGCACAAAATAAGGTATCGCTCATTAATGAACACCACTTGGCGGACCAACCCGCTAATCGGAACGAGGACATCGAAGGTAGACGATCGTCGTTGATGCCATGATTACGATAGCACTCAATGGCTAAATAAACACCGTAATCGAGCCAACACTCATCCTCACTCTAAGTTGTACCACGTGCTGTGCGGAGACGGAGGGGGGGGGAAGAAGGAGGGAGTATTGGATTGTCTCATAATTCTTGTCGCAATTTCGACACTTTTGTTTATCCAAGATTTATCGCAATGTAAGGTCTGGCGTACATTCGGAGAAAGGAGAATCTGAGACGTTTCTGACGATTCCCTCGCAACCCCGAAGCCAGCCTAGAGGGCTATTCCGCGCTGACTTTAGCAATGCTTGTCTTCATACATTGAAGTGGTTCCCAAACCAGGCCACCTAGCGAATCAAAACGAAGCGATATTCTCAGAAAACGGAGTTCGGGCTTTGGCTGAGCTGGTGCTTTCTGGCTGCAAGGCCGCCATCAGAAGTGCCGCATGTTGTTGTCGCAGTGGACTCATGACTCATTTCCACTGGTGACCGATTAGGGAAGGCTCTGCTTTTGCCGTCCCAGAATGGATTTTCCCCATGGTCAGGCGTGCTTCCCGCTCATGGTCGGCCGGACCATAAGGTTTCCATCAAAACTTCATTCTGCAGCAGTCCTTGCCATACTGATGGCGTGTGCTGGTGCATCGGCTGCGCTCAGGTATCTGCTACAATACCCTGGTAGCAACGTACGGAGGCACTCCCAATTTAGGGTGCAAGGGGCGCTCATCAAAAATGACCGCAGGCCCAGTATGAGGTTGAAGTTCATAGCTCGTTTCGTCTTTGCCGTTGCGATTGGACCACTAGCTCAGTACCCTATCAGTAGCAGAGACTGGGTCAAACACAGCGCTGGTCTTCTCTGTTGTCCTCCTTGCTACAGAGTTCATTTGAGGATCGTAAAGCATAATCATTCATTATAGTCACTGACCTATTTTTATTCCTAGTTGATTAACCCATTAAGGGCTTGCGTTTCCGAAACCATGCTGTTAAGGCTCTTGAAGCATACTTCAACATACTAACGTATTTCGCAATGAAACGGTCTTAGACGGAAGAAATTTGAAATTGAATAGAAATGCGACAGGAATTATGAGACAACCCAATACATCGCTTTCAAGATTACGGGTTCGATCCGGTGTTGAGGTAATTGCAACGTGATTGTGATAATACCCCAACGGCTATATAAACACCTACTTAGTACACTTTCAGTCATTTCACAAGGTGCTGCAGTGGCAGCTGGAGAGCAGTGGGGGAGGAGGGAGGATAAGTGAGAAGAGGGACGCCAATCCTGGCAGAGATGTAAGGGTACGACGGTTGCTGGGGGACCAATCTGGTTAGTCAAAAAATGACAAGGCAACAAAACACAGTGATGAAAAAATTTTATTAGTTGAACTGAGGAGTGCACATTAAATGAACCACATCATTAATAATGTTCTTATTCAGTTGCTGAAAAAAGGTTGAATAATGTTTGAACACTTCATATACCAAATGGGAAGTATTTCACTCACATTGTGGTCTTTAACGTATAGAATGTGTTTGTCATCATAGCCAACGATTTCTTGAACATTACTTGTATAGTAGCCACCGCCAACTACTACGTATATTATCGTAGCTCCGGACTGTCGCCACTGCAACGACCCCATTTTTTGTATGCATGGGTGTGAAGATGGAGGAAGCTGCCAGTAAAAAGAGACGCCTCACCAAGTGCAGTAAGCTTCAACAACGTAAAATGAAGTCTGTTCAATCAGAAAGTAAACCCACTTCTTTGGCTATATCAAACTCCCAGGGCTTAGGATACGCATAAGTACTATCACCAGCGCTGCTGCCTTTGCAGTTAGAATGCTGTCCATCCGACGTCACAATTATGGTCTTCGAGGATGTTGTTTCCTTCTGTGGAAGATTGAATATCAAAGCTTGTAAAGTGCTCGTCTAGCACTACACGAGCTGTGCTAGACTTGGGGAATCCAGCGACTCGCTAGCGAATCGCGAGGCACGAGCGTTGCGCCAGCGAATCGATCTGTGAACCAGCGGTTCGAACTGTGCACCAGCGGTTCGAGCGATGTACGAGCAACTCGACACTGTTTCCATTTACCAGGCTCACGTGGGAATGAGAGAGCAGGTGGGCATAATACCCCGGAAAAGTGGCGAGAGACGACGTGTAAACGAGAGGGTAGCTTTCGGATACACTCGAGTCGCTGGTACATCGTCCGAACCACTGGAGCACGGTTCGAACCGTTGTTGGCACACAGTTGGATTTGCTGGACAACGCTTGTACCCCACGATTCGCTAGCTAATCGCTGGATTTTCAAAGTCTGACATCGGTGTACAGTTGATTGTATTCCAGAAAACACAAAAACTCCTCCCCTAGTTCTATCGAAAAAACATCCTTAACCCATTCGCGACCGCGCAGGATTGCGCAATAGCAGCAGAGTCAGGAGATTTTTCTTCAATAAAATTCGAGTGGAGGGAGATTTCCTCTGCCCAGGGCTGGCGTAGATGAGCGAGGGTATGAAGATTCTTTTCATGGAAAGAAAACTTTCCAAATTCCATTTCAAGCCCTGCAGCCACAGTAATGCCATTGTCCCGAGTGAGAGCTTTGTCAGCCACCGGTGGCTGACATTGTCACGAATGGGTTAAGTACCCAATTGGTAATATACTTGGGTTGTTCGGAAGCTATCCATTTATTTCAATTGCCCATATCTCTGTCCAGACAGAGCGCTTAGATTGTAAAAAAAAGTTGTCAAAGTCCCTATAGAGAGGAGGGGGGGGGGGGATATTTTGCCCAGATCGCACTTCGGCCTTTTTTTCTTCGCAGAGATTGCCGCGGATGAAGGAATTTCCCCAGCAAAATATTCCCCAAAATTCCAAATGTCTTTTTTTTTGCCCCCTCCCCCATGTACATTGTCTAAAGAGTCTGTTATTACAGCGACAACTAATCAATCAATGTAAATGAACGAATTCTCGTTGCCAGTTGCCTGAAGAAGTTTGGATTGCGTTCAACTGTTTTCATAGCGAATCGAAAAAAACAACAACACATTCCCCTATAATTCAACTCATTGTGCAATTTTTGAGTGGTAGTCCAATTCTGAATATGAGAGTTGCGAACAGAAAGAAGGTGATTGCTAGAAAACTTACATCAAGCATCTCCTTACCAAGCTTGTACGCCTCGTAGGCACCCGTGTACAAACTACCATAAGTGTCGAGTGATGATTTTCGGGTGTTTACCCAATCCCTGGAAGAAATTTTGACGTCAGATACGTTGCGCAAAGCAAAATATATACATCGTGTTTAGGCAATTTATCGTCTCGATAGGTAAAACGGGCGTGGTTCTAGCATAACATTATCGCTCAGAATTTCAAATTTTTCCCCAGTTTCCCATCTCCCTCGCCCCTCCCACCCCCACCTTCGTGAAGACTTTAGCGAGAGCTATGGAAAGCAAACCGACAAGTCTTCCTCGTGATTGAGGAAAAACTTTTCAAAGATGCAGTCAATTGGTAGAACAAAAAGATTATTTTTTAAGTAACTGAAAGGAAAACAATCGCCTCAGTTGTGTGGCACCCACAGCTGTCGTGAGGCAGTGAACTATTCGGTTTTCCGTACTTTAAAAAGACCAGAAATATTCCGGCGCGGCCATGAATGCCCAGAATTTTGGAACTTACATGACTTCCTGCGTTGTGTACTGCTTCATCGGTAGTCCTTCGTAAGAAGGACAACTTATTACTACTCCTCCTGCTCTTACATTCGTTAATACACTGAGGATGTCGAGTATAAATTTCTTCTCCTGCAATATTGAAGATTTTTGAAGTATGCTATCTCTTTGGTTCTTTTCTTTCTTATATCTTTTACATTCTTCTTTTTATTGCAGCCACGGAGCATTATGCAGGCATAAAACAGGCCAACACCGCTTAAAGGAAGCGATTACGATAAGGAATTTTCGCATCGGCGGAGAACCTGCTCCACCACAGAGCAATTAGCTTGGCCGCCAAGGAAGCGATGTGTGGCGCTTCCACTGCGAACAGTGCTGTGGTTGCTGAGCAGGACCATTGCGCCCTTCCGCCCCATGCGCCGCCCCGCCCCATGATTCATCGGTGGCTTGGGCGAGCTGCGTTGCCAGCCGCGCGTTAGGGCGCCATGCCCCGGGTGGGATCGGTCAAATGGCGCGGTCACATTGCCATTGGGGCGCATGGGCTGTAGTTGCCACCTAGGCGCCGCCCATATCTCGGCCAAATAACTCGTCCGGATCACCGAACGAATAGATTATCGTGGTTGATCGGTCTGCAATAGAGCGCGCCAGAGTAGACTGGATTGCAGAGCCTCCCAAGCTTCACCATTCTTGACTCTTCTTCCGGCTTCATTCTTGCGCTGAATTCGCACTGCACACTTCAACTATTAGAATGACTGTAGAGTTACTTCGAAGTGATTGTATCACGATCATTTTGGAACTGTGATACATTGCACTTTCCAGCAACTTACAGTGGATGACAATAATTCCGATACGAGGTAGGTAACTATTGTTCAGTTTTTTTTTGTTCAGAAAACAGTTTCATTGTGGGTTGGTATCCAAGTTTCGTTGTGACTTCACCAGCAGTGGTTTTTTGGATTTGCTTCTCCCGAAAGCTGTGAGATAAGTATTGAGACTCCTTGATTTTCTGCTAATTGATGAATGCGTGAGAATCAATCACCGTGCATGAATATGATATTATTTAAGCAGTTTTGCTGGTTTATTTCTTATAGCTTTCTAAGATAAGGATGCCGTTATAGATTTTGTCTAACTATGCGTGAAAGAAAGGGAAAATTATGTCGACGTGCTATTCTGACCACACAGAAATTTTGCAGGGTGAGGAGCTCTGGGATGTTAAAATGGAAGAGAAATGACCCACGCACCTTGAGGGTTTCCCCTTGCACTGTACGCAGTACAAAAACCGCACCACATGCCCCTGTTGGAAAAGACCCAAAGCGTTCGAGACAACAGCAGCTCGTTTTTCTAATCTGATTGGACTCTCCTAACCGAGTTATTCGTCTTCTGTCACTTGAATGTGTTATCTTTGATGTTCTCTCATCAATCAAATCCCATACCACTGAGCGATCCCCTTGTTGGGGTAATGAGATCCCTGTTTTCTACACTTGTGATTCAGTTCTACTTTGCCAAAAGCATATCTCATCCCAATCTCTGTGTCCTTGCGAGTCCCTTAGGCATATCATGTGCAACATTGCACGTTTTATTGTCTCTCTAGTAAACCACACCAAAAAAAGAAATAATCTTATACGAAGTTATACGAAGTGTCATTCTCAAAAGGTGAGGCAGGACATAGAAATTCACCAAAGAACTCAAAGAGGGGTGAATTCGAGAATATTACACCGAACAAGTTAGTGAAGTGGGATCGCAGGTGATGGCAAAATAACAAAAAGGGATGAGAAATAATAAAACTGCAGCTGAAGACTCCAAGTGAGCTGATCAACCGTAGTACTGTTTAGGTTTAGATGGTTCGTACACAAAAAGGCCATTGTGAATAGGTTTCAAGAATGGTTCCTAAAAAAAGCGCCTAGTTTAGTCAAAGCAATAGACTTTCCAATACTGTTCCCTGAACAGAAAAAGACTTAACAATACTTACCACGTATAGTAATTGTTGTCATCCACTGTAAGTTGCTGGAAAGTGCAATGTATCACAGTTCCAAAATGATCGTGATACAATCACTTCGAAGTAACTCTACAGTCATTCTAATAGTTGAAGTGTGCAGTGCGAATTCTCAGCGCAAGAATGAATCCGGAAGAAGGTCGAGAATGGTGAACTTGGGAGGCTCTGCAGTCCAGTCTACTCTGGCGCGCTCTATTGCAGACCGATCAACCACGATAATCTATTCGTTCGGTGATCCGGACGAGTTATTTGGCTGAGATATGGGCGGCGCCTGGGTGGCAACTACAGCCCATGCGCCCCAATGGCAATGTGACCGCGCCATATGACCGCCTCCCCAACAGGTGACCTGCTGTCGTTTGTCCTGTGCCAGCACGAGCAGCGTTGCGTAATCTCGTACACGCGTGCGCGGTCTTCGCCGCACTCCATCTGAGAGCCGCAATCAACGGCTACAAAAGGGGGTCCCATTTCTCGTTTCCTGAACGATTTCGCTGCTTCTTTCGCCACTGACGTACCATTGAGGACCCCCTCGTCCCCTCTAAACCCCATTCAAACCTAGCGTAACCGCTGCCTTTAAAGCAACAGACGTCTCAAGTCAAGCGTGCCGTAGTTGACATGTGGTGGGTGATATAGCGTAATAAATTTGGCGAGAATTTGAAAGAAATTGTCATTCACTTCAGGTAGGAAAGATTAATAGTTCCCTGGACGGTAGTAAACTAGCCAAACGTGCACGTTAACGGGCAGCTTCAAGTCAGCTCCGTAACGTGGAGGTGCAAGTTTTTCCGATGAAGGTGGAAATCGCTTCTATGGCACAAATTTTACGAAACTCTGAAGAAAGCTTTCCAGGCAGCTGCAGCTCACCTTGGGTTCGGTCTCTTGGAGGGACGAAGTTTTGTTTACGATGTCGCGAATTTGCGCGCTTCAGATATCTTCGTATAACTCTCAATTTCTTCCTCATTTACGGACATATTATGTGTTATTATTAATAGCCAATTCGGGGTAGATTACTGCCGTCCCTCATCTTGACTGACCCATGTCTTGTTGTATAGGTGTAGGTGGATGATTTTTTTTTCGTGCTGAACCTGAGCGCTCAACCTAAGTCCACCGACGTTGCCTATGTCTCCGACTCGTTTACTTTGGATGTTAGCCATGTCGGTAAGCGACATCGACAGCAATCATGACTTCCTGTTGTTTCATCCACCTTTCATGTCGCTTTTCTAGGTGTCCGGAAAATTGTATGGTGTACAAAGCGGTATGTCTTGGTTGCAGCGGATTTCGCACAAGCGAAACATCAAGGCCATGGATAAGAGACGGATAACAAGACTATAAGTTCAGGAACATAGGATGTATACCGTAACCCAAAGTAGCGATCCTTCGGCAAGCGATGCTCTTGTTAGGTTGGGAGCGGAAACGATCAACGACGCCACACCGGCGTGCAACGTTCCAAAAATGGAGCAGCGTTGCGAACGGTGCGCGCGCGGGTAGGGAGGGTAATCTCCCACGTGCCGCCTTCCAACCTGAAAACTGTACCGACGTGCGTGCTATCCTCCGCGTTATTACCGTATTACGTCAATTACGCAGTATAGTTGGCGAGTAAGCTCGATGCATTCTCTCTTTGTTGAGAGGACGCAGAGAAAACGGTAAGTGGTTGCTGAGGCCGCCCCAGTGCAACGTCGAGAGGATTACGGTATACAGCCTATGTTCCTGACCTTGTAATCTTTCGAGACGAGGACGAACATTGAGAAGCTCTACGTGTTTACGAAACAAACTCTAGATTTCATTCTCCAGTCACCGTAAACCTAAGATGTCCATAGGGAAAATCACAAAATCACCCAAGCTTCTTGTCTTCATTATCCATAAGAATCGTTAAAATCCAGTCGAAAGAACGATATGGGAAGCGTTACGTTCCCTCCCATTGCTGGTAAAATGCGCGAAGCTCGCTTTCGATGGTATGGTCACGTTCTTCGCGGAAATGATGACAGTGTGCGTAAGATCGGCCTCAACATAGACGTGCCCGGAAAGCGGCCTAAGGGACGCCCAAAGCAGCGCTGGCTCGATACATTGCATATGGACTTGAAGTTAGCTGGTATCCATCCCGATCAGGCATTCAATCGGGAAAAGTGGCGTCAACACATCAGAAAAGCGGACCCTGCCATCAATCGGGACAAACGCTAAGAAGAAGAAGACGTAGTAGTACGCTTACATATACACATGTGTATTCCTAAGTATGACTAAATAAACGTATACATACGTTTTAGTCAGAGTGGCTGGAACTTACCTTCTGCATTCCTTCTCGTCCAACTGTCGATGACTGATCCATGATGAAAAGTACTGACCTCTTCTCAGTTTTTGAGTTGCACGTCACGCACAATGTGCCCTTAAAATAGACTTCTCAGCAACTTCAATACACTTCCGTTGGCTTCCTAACAGATGAGAAAAGACCAGCCCTTCCAAAGTAAAATATGAGCCGGGTACCGTGCCTGAGAAACCTGACATGAAACAAACTTTTTGAACGCGCGGCCAGGTATACTCTCAGCTCTCATTCATAACCTCTAACAAAATCACGACACTCTTTAATAGTGGCCTTTCCGGGGACGACGTTAATAAACTCTGCCATGAAGACATGCTGCGCCGGTTGAGCTCAAGGGGGTCATCGACGAATCGTTGATCATTACGACGATTTCTGGAACGATGTTTTTTGATTCTCTGCACATTTTCGAGGGTCACCGCGTTTCTCTTTTCCAGCGTACGCCTTTTCTGAATTGAACTTACCAGCTACCAGATTCGTTCCCCGGCACCCGCTGGACCCTCCCTTCCCTGCGAAGGAGAGCACTCCCTCCCCCTGCCCATCCCCTTTCTTCCCCACCAACCTTCCTGCCCTTTTTCTTTCCTCCCCTACCCCTTCCCCTCCGGCTGCCACGGCAGCACCATGTAGAATGAGGCTGAGTGTGCTCGATCGGTGTTTATATAGCCGCTGTGGGTGTTATCATGATCATGACATCAACATCACGAAGTGTTGCCCTTCGTACTCCCTGGTTTTGTGAGCGGTTGGTCC